AAGGAGATGGATTGACACAGTGGCTGCGATGATGGGCTCAACTATAGCAGGGATCATGGAGCTGGCATGGGATCAGGCAGTGTTTTGTTCTGCTGTGCATGGGGTCGCTATGAGTCGGAAATGACTCTACAGCACCTAACAATAACAACAACAACAACAACATACGTCATCAAATGTCCTGACTGCCACTTCCATTGGCATTGATTGTAGAACCAAGCAATGTGAAGTCTTTGACAACTTCAATCTTTTCTCCATTTATCATGATGCTGCTTATAGGTTCACTTGTGAGAATTTTTGTTTTCTTTATACTGAGATGTAATCCATACTGCAGACTGTATTCTTCAGTCTTCATCAGATCATCACTTTCAGCAAGCAAAGTTGTGTCATCAGCATACCGCAGGTTGTTAATGATTCTTCCTCCAATCTTGACGCTACATTCTTCTTCATATAGTCCAGCTTCTCAGATTATTTGCTCAGCATACAGATTGAATGAATATGATGAAAGGATACAACTCTGATGCACTCCCGTCTTGATTTTAAACCATGCTGTTGTTGTTGTTGTTATGTGCCTTCGAGCCGGCCCTGACTCATAACGACCCCTCCTTGGGTTTCCAAGGCAATATCACTACAGAGGTAGGATTGCCCAACCTTCCTTCCGAGGAGTGGCTGGTGGGTTTGAACTGCCAGCCTTCTGGTTAGCAGTCAAGTGCCTTAGGCACTATGCTACTAGAGCTCCTTTAAACCATGCAGTACCCCCTTATTCTGTTCAAACAACAGTCTTCAGGTCAATGTACAGGTTCCTCATGAGCACAATCAAGTGTTCTGGAATTCCCATTCTTCTCAATGTCATCCAGAATTTGTTATGATCTACACAATCAAATGCCTTTGCATAGTCAACAAGACACAAGTAAACATCTTTCTGGTATTCTTTGCTTTGAACCAGGATCCATCTACCAGCAGCTATGACATCCTTTGTTCCACATCCTCTTCTGAATCCAGCTTGCACCTCTGGAAGTTCTCTGTCAATATACTGCTGCAACCGTTTTTTAATTATCTTCAGTAAGATCTTACTTGTGTGCGATATTAATGATATTGTTCGATAATTTCCACATTCTGTGGGATCACCTTTCTTTGGAATGGGTACAAATATGGATCTCTTCCAGTCAGTTGGCCAGGTAGCTGTCTTCCAAATCTCTTGGCATAACTGAGTGAGTGCCTCCAGCAGGGCATCCATATGTTGAAACATCTCAATGGGTATTCCATCAATTCCTGGAGGCTTGTTCTTTGCCAATTCCTTCAAAGCAGCTTCAATTTCTTCCTTCAGTACCACTGGTTCTTGATCATATGGCACCTCCTGAAATGGATGAAGATCTACCACTTCTTTTTGGTACAGTGACTCCATGTATCCCTTCCATCTTCTTTTGATGTTTCCTTCATCATTCAATACTTTGCTAATAGAATCTTTCAGTATTGCAACTCAAGGCTTAATTTTTTTCCTCAGTTCTTTCACCTTGAGAAATGCTGAGCATGTTCTTCCCTTTTGGTTTTCTAACTCCACATCTTTGCACATTTCATTATAGTAATTGGCTTTGTCTGCTCAAGCTGCTCCTTGAAATCTTCTGTTCAGCCCTTTTATCTTGTCATTTCTTCCATTTGCTTTAGCTACTCTCTGCTCATGGGCAACTTTCAGAGTCTCTTCTGACATCCATTTTGGTCTTTTCTTCTTTTCTTGTCTTTTAAGTGACCTCTTGCTTTCTTCATGGATGATGTTCTTGATGTCATCCCAAATTCTTCTTGTTTTCAGTCATTGGTGTTCATTGCATCAAATCTATTCATTAGATGGTCTCTAAATTCAGGAGGGATATATTCAAGGTTGTATTTTGGCTCTGGTGAACTTGTTTTAACTTTAACTTCAACTTCAAGTTGAACTTGCACATGAGCAGTTGATGGTCTGTTCCACAATCAGCTCCTGGCCTGATTTTGGCTGAAGATATTGAACTTTTCCATTGCTTCTTACCACAGATGTAGTCAATCTGATTCCTGTGTATTCCATGTGGTGAAATCCACATGTACAGCTGCCATTTGTGTTGTTGAAAAAAGGTATTTGTAATGAATAAGTCATTGGTCTTGCAAAATTCTATCATGCAATTTCCAGTATCAGTTCTGTCACCAAGGCCAAATTTTCTAATTACCAGTGATACTTCTTTGTTTCCAACTTTTCCATTCCAGTCACCAGTGATAATTAACACATCCTAATTGCATAGTGGCTAAAGCACTTGACTGCTAACCAGAAGGCTGGCGGTTCAAACCCACCAGCCACTCCTCGGAAGGAAGGTTGGGCAATCCTACTTCCATAGTGATACTGCCTCGGAAACCCAAGGAGGGGTCGCTATGAGTCGGGGTCGACTCGACGGCACACCACACACACACACACACACAATTGCATGTTCAGTCAATTTCAGACTGAAGAAGCTGATAAAAATCTTCAATTTCCTCAACTTTGGCTTTGGTAGTTGGTGCATAAATTTGAATAATAGTCGTATTAACTGTTCTTCCTTGTAGACATATGGATATTATCCTATCACTGACAGCATTGTACTTCAGGACAGATCTTGAAACATCCTTTATGATGATGAACACCACACCATTCCTCTTCAAATTGTCATTCCCGGCATAGTAGACCACATGGTGGTCCTAGCAGTCCATTTCAGTTCACTAATGACTAGGATATTAATCTTTATGTGTGCCATATCATTTTTGACAACTTCCATTTTTCCTAGATTCATGCTTCATACATTCCATTTTCCAATTATTAATGGATGTTTACAGCTGTTTCTCCTCAATTTGAGTAGTGCCACGTCAGCAAATGGGGGTCTTGAAATCTTCATCTCATCCATATCATTAAGGCTGGTTCTGCTCTGATGATGCAGCTCTTTCCTGGTCCAATTTTGAGTCCAACCTAAGTGGCTTATCATCCTGCATTGTATGGGACAATGTTTCCAGGCTATTCATAAAGTTGAATAGTAATGTATCAGACAGTGTTTCTCTGCTATTCACAAGGTTTTCCCTTTCCAATTCTTTGAAAAGTGAATGGCCTCCTCCTTCTTCCTAGTCTGCCTCAGTCTGTAAGCTGTTGAAACCTGTGTACCACATGCAGCTCTGCTGGGTTTGAGACACTGGTGGCACAGCCCGAAGCCTCACAGCAACATGCCATCACAGTAGGACAAACTGACAGACAAGTTTGTCTCCCTTAGCTGTTCAAACCTCTCCACCCTCCACTTACATAGATCCCTGCCTCTTTCCCACCACTTGGAAGGGGTGTGGCCTGGGTCCCTGTCCTTACCTGGATCCCTGCCTCTGCTCCCTCACTCTTTAGTCTTCTTTATTCTTTCTTTATACACTCCAGGGAGATATCAGTCATGGGAGAATAGAAGGACTGTGTATGTACAGGCAGACAGCTCGGGGAGTAGGAATGCATGGGAGGGAAAGACACAGGGAAGAGGTAACTATGGGGAAGAAAACCCCATGGAGCAGTTCTACTCTATCCTATAGGGTTACTATGAGTTGGAATTGACTCAACAGCAGTGGATTTTTGGGCTCAAATAGTGGATATTCATTCTCAACAAACATCATTAGGAACAGTGGCTATTCAATCTAAAATGTCTCAAAGACCCCAATCATTAACATTGAAATAATAATGTTGAAAAGTTTTTACTCACAGATTCTCCACTGTCTCAGCTGGCACTGTTGTTGTTGTTGTTATGTGCCATCAGGTCGGCCCCGACTCATAGCAACCCCTCTTTGGGTTTCCGAGGCAGTATCACTACGGAAGTAGGATTGCCCAACCTTCCTTCCGAGGAGTGGCTGGTGGGTTTGAACTGCCAGCCTTCTGGTGAGCAGTCAAGTGCTTTTAGCCACTATGCTACCAGAGCTCACTAGTGAACCTTAATTATGCTTTTATTGTCTAGTATAATTTTGAAAAGTACCTATTAAAGAGATGTTTTTGAAGAGTATTGTGATGTATTTCAGAAGTGGCAAGCTAATTATCTTTAAATAGCTATAGATACTTTTTGAAGCAGAAAGATATATAACTAATATCTGCAGATATAAATGTCTTCAAGTGATATCTTTAGATATTTCTAGAAAGGAATTAAATGACAGTGTCTGCTACAGTGGATACTAGATGCTGGATGAAGAGATTGTTTTAACATAGCTGTTATTACTATCTTCATCAGTATCAGTAAGATCTGATTAATCCAAATCTTTGGACCACATAAATCCTGAGTCATTTGTGAAGGTCAGAAACGGTCAGCTTAAGAAAAAAAATGGCTTTTATCACAGTTGTACATTGAGGCAATACAGATCATTTAAAACCTAGCACTCACAATGGATGGAATAAAACGATGTTAAAAATTCTTTTTGCATTCAAACTCAAATAAAAAAAAACTTGAAAAGGATATTTTATTCTGTAAATTATTTTACTTATAGCCAATGAAAAGCTGTTGACAATAGTTTGTTTTCCGTAACCAGCAAATGGTAAGAGTGTCTAGAAAGAAAATTCAAGAATTAATGTTATACTATATATGCATACATTATGAAATATGTATGTGAAGGTAACTGAGGTTAAGAGACTGCACTGTCCCTGGGATGCTAGGGAACCATCCTGTCCTGTTGTGGGTCAACTAACATTTTTTTTGTTTTGCTACAGTGTACTAAGCCCTGAGGACATTACCTCATTAAATGTTCAGTAAATATTGTTCCCTATTCTCATTCCCTTTTTCTCTTCTATATTTTGCATATGAAAATATCCAAGTGTTCCCTGAAAGCTTTTCTTTTGTTTCTGTGAATTTTCTTTTGTTTTTGTGAACATAGCATGCTATGTTGTATTGTCTTGGTTACTTAATATAAACTTTCTTAGATGGCTTGTTATAAGACAAACTAATTCACATTCTTCCACTGTCCATTAAGAATAGAATGTAATACAGGTTTTTCTCTTATAGGTTGTGGGACTGGAAAGTATCTTAAAGTGAACAGCCAGGTACATACCCTGGGCTGTGACTACTGTGGGCCATTGGTAGAAATTGCCCGAAATAGAGGATGTGAAGTCATGATATGTGACAACCTTAATCTCCCCTTTAGGGATCAGGGTTTCGATGCCATCATCTCTATAGGAGGTAAGGCAGCTGGTCACAAGTTCACTCTTTGCCATGAGAATAGTATAACATGGTTGAGGCCACTCTAACAACTCAACATCTATTCTGTGTACAAAGGTCTATATCATTCATTTTACCTATTTAAAATTATATATATATATATATATATATATATCAACTGGTTGAATTATGTAGCTAATAACTATCAAAAGCACTTATGGTATGTGTGATTATTATAGCTAGTTAAACCATATTATTAGATACATTTTGATGATTCATTCTGATTTCTTTTACTTACGAGTAAGAAAGTATTAGAGAAATTGTATGCACTCAAAGTAGTACTTTGTTATGTTGAGATGAGGACAGATTCCTCCAACATGAAGTAGATTTTCAGGAGTCATGTTACTTTTCTTCAGGCTGAAAGAGTGTCCGTTATTAACTGAGTATCATAGGATTCACCTGCTGAGTGTGACTTGGAAGAATGTGTCATCCAATCTGCCACTCACTGGCACTCAAGTCATCCAAGAAGATAGCTCCCTTGTCTTAGATTACATTGTTTTTATAATGCTACTCAGCTCCCTTACTACCAGAAAACGTTCACTAATCTAGGGAAATGTGTACCTTGTATTGCTCCAATAAGTGTACCCTTAAAATACCCATGCCAAAAAAATGAAAAGACACAGCTAAAACCCATGCCTAAAATATACACAAGTAAGTCTCATTTTACCTGATCGGTATTCCTGAAACATAGTGTGTTAGTCACCTTTGAAATATGCTTGAAAAATTTGTCACTTAAGGAAATCCTGTGCAAGTTTTTTGCACAACCAAAAACACTTTTCAAAGCAAAGTATCTGATCTAATACACTTTTTAAAAAGTTAATCTATTTTAAAATAATAAGCACCATTAAAGGAGCTCTGGTGGCGCAGTGCCTAAGGCATTTCACTTCTAACCAGAAGGTTGACAGTTCAAACCCACCAGTCACTCCATGGAAGGAAGACGGGGCAATCTATTTCTGTAAAGATTTACCTCCTCAGAAACACAGCGGGGTGTTTCTATGTGTTGGAATCAACTTGGATGGCAGTGAGTTTGTTTTTTTGTTTTTATAAAGCAATGTGATCCTATATATAACTGATTACTATTCATGATAAAAATACAGAATAAGATTGCTTCCTCTGTCCTGAAATGGACCAGAAATTGACTTATTCAACACCGGATGGGGATTATACCTTTTGCGTAGGGGTGGGAGGCAGTTCCATAATCTTAGAACTACTTTGGATTTACAGGAGATGGTTGCCATGGATATCTGCTCTATGACAGCTCAACTTCATTGCAGTGGAAACTGTTAGTTCCATTTTGGTTGGAAGCATTAAGAGGAGAGATTCTTGTTGATCTAAATAACACTGTACAGTGCTTGGAACCCTTAGCAGAAAGAAAAGTTTTTGGCTTGGTCTTTTCCCCTATAACTAGAAATGGGAGAGAGAACAGAGAAGTGTATTCTGTGCCCCACATTTGTGTACATGTTTTAGGCTCCTTAAGGCTAACAACATCCAAGTGATGTTAACACTATTAGGGCCTTGTGGATATTGACCCTCTTGCTCTGGGAAATGCTCCATGTGTGCAAAGTTCAATCCTTCTCCACTTGAAGCTGAAATCTCATGCCTCACCATCAGAGGAAACAGAGCACATCTGGTTACTATTTTCTAATTAAAAATGTTTCTTTAAATGGAAAAATAGTATGTGTTTTTATTAATAGTAACTATAAATTAACACAGTGTGGTAATTATCAGTTAGATTTCTCATTTAGAACTCTGTTATGAAGAATTTCTATAGACTTTCTCTCTTATGCCCACATATGTACTTACCTAATTACAGTTATATGTGTTGGGACTTCTTACTTAACATAAAAAATATATATTTTTTGCTTTCCATGCCTCTTAATAATAATGTGAGAGCTAAACATCATACCTAGTTATAAATTCCTTATGTTTTACTAACAGATAGGAAAATGAAACAGTCTTTCTACTTACTTTTAGAATAGTCTGGAAAAGTTCTAGGGACATTTGGCAATATATTAAAATAGTATGAAATCAACTATATCTTTTATGAAAGTAGTTCTGATGTTGCCCTCCCAGGAGACATTTGAGGATGTCTGGAGGACTACTAGCATCTAGTGAGTGGGCCTCCCACAACAAAAAACTAAGTACCCTGAAATGACAATGGAGCCCAGGTTGAGAAACCTTGCCCATAGATTCTGTTTTAGATACACAGAATCATTAGAGAGACAAGGCATACACATGTGAACAGTAAAATAATTATATATCAAGATATAACAGAACTTTAAAGATGATCTTGTGTAACTTTCCATCTGATTCTGGAATCCAGTAATTGAATTCAGCCTACTTATTTTCTGGACTCTCAACAGGAAAACATTGCTATAGGATAAACATATTGACTTATATTTTTGCCTTTAAGTTGTGATTATATTTTTTTAAACAAAATGGGGCAACTTTTTAACCCTTTAAAAAGTCAACATATTTTCCTGACATTGACAATTCCATATAAATACATCCTTATGTCTTATTTTAGTTACATTTACAATATTTCTTAATGGAACATGTATGTATATATATATATAGGTGCTCTGGTAGCATAGTGCCTAAAGCACTTGACTACTTGATTGCTAACCAGAAGGCTGACAGTTCAAACCCACCAGCCACTCCCTGGAAGGAAGGTTGGGCAATCTACTTACATACTATATATATATGAATAAGTATACATATATTTATATATATATATATATATATATATACACACATATATATGAATAAATATTTGTACTCTTTTTTTAAAAAAATATTTGTCTTAAATGTGGTTACTTAATTCATGTTAAATATACATATAAAAACACAAAAGAATTTCAGGTATTTTCTGGGTTGAATTGTGATATTTCAAGTATTGGAGATGAAGTGATACATGATAAATTCTTAATAAATAAATGAATATAAAGACTTTCTTCCTTAAAACAAAACAACAGCAACATAATTTTTTGGTAAGCCCTATGTGGTCCAAACTGTTAATACCTTCAAGTCTAACAGAAAGATTGAAGGTTCAAGTCCACGCAGAGGCACCTCAGAAGAAAGCCCTGGTCATCTACTTGTGAAAAATAAGCCACTGACAACCCTATGGAGTATGGTTCTACTTTGACATATATGAATTCACTTCATGGCAACTGTTTGTTTTGTTTGTGTATTTAAAAAGAGACCTAAATGTTAAAATAATCCTGTTTTAGTGATTTTTTTTCTTGTATGGCAAAAAAAAAAAAAAAGATTTAGAAAACATACCATAAAAGTTCAAAATGAATAAGGTGTAAATTATAGGAGATATTAATGAGGAGTTGGAGGTAGACATGAATATTTTGAGTCTTTCTTAGTTTTGTCCCTTGTCCCTCTTGCCTCATTTTAACTCAATGACCAAGACCCTGCTGCCATACTTTTAAATTAACAACTATAAAGGGATCTTTCCTTGGGGGAAAAAACAATCTGAGACCTAGTGAGATAAAATGATTGGCCAAGGGTCACAAGTCTAGTTGCAGATAGATCTAGGATGAAACACACCGGTGTCCTATTCATCCAACACGTTTCCACCATGTACCCCTAGCTGTCAGACATCGCTGCATGGTAGGGTGATTATGGTAAGATTAGAGGAGCTGTTTCACCCTCTCTCTACATCCTCACTCCTCCTGTCTGAACAGGAATATTCAGGTTTTCTTGGGACTAATTTCCTACCCGAGATATGTGGTAGGCATGGGTGTGGAAAAAATAATTGGATGTTTTCTCTTGGCAGAGTACTTGATTAAACTCCCCCAGGAGCTAACAGATTAGCACTTTCTATATATTGATGGATAAAAATGTGCCTAATAACACACTTAAGACTAGGTAAAGCCAGTTCTACCTGAATTTCACTTTGACTTTGCAGGGATTAGAAATAAAATGATGACCAGTCAGATGATTTTTTTTTTCAATATACATAATCATTTTATATTATATTAAAATTATAATCCATCATTTGGACTTCTGTTGGGCTGGTTATCTTTGCATTACCTAAACAGAAAAGCAATCATTATCATTTTTCTTTATTTCTATTTGCCTTATTAATTGTGTTAACACCAATTATTGCTATTAACCATAGTACCTAACAACACCTAACAACACCTAACAACACCAATGTTGCTATTAATCCTTGGGTGCTTTAGAAGGACAAATTACTCATTAAAACAATTCATTATTTTATAGAGTTCTACCAAACTTACAGATCCCTTTAAAGTGTTATTAATTCACCCTGGTTTTCCTGATTAATCTTAGAGATGATTTATTCTAGGTTTCTTACTTATAGATGAAGAAATTGGAAATCTATAGAACTTAAAAAGCTGGCCCAAAATTACCTCCTAAGTAGACACACCAAAGCTAGTGATATGTCTCTCCTAAAACTAGGCTTGGGAGTGTGGTTATACAGTGGTTAAAGTGCTCAAATAGGAACCAAAATTTCAGTAATTTGATCCTACCAGCCACGTGGCAGTCTACTTCCACAAAGATTTATAGCCTTGGAAACCCAATGGACAGTTCTACTCTGTAAGAATCTGCTTGATGGCAATGGGTTTGATTTTGCTTTAAAGCTAGGCTATTTCTACCACCTGCCCTACCATATAAAAATTTCATCACTGTTATACAGGAAATACTAGTATATAAATGCATATGTTTGTGTGTATACACATTGAGATCCAGTTTCTTCTTTTTCAGTCATACATCATTTCTCCACAAAACAAAGAAGAATCAGAGCAATAAAAGAAATGGCTAGAGTCTTAGTTCCCGGGGGCCAGCTGATGATCTATGTTTGGGCTATGGAACAAAAGAACCGTCACTTTGAAAAGCAAGATGTGCTTGTTCCATGGAACAGGGCCTTATGTTCCCAAGTCTTCTCAGAACCCAGCCAGTCTAGGAGAAAGAGGCACTGTGGACATGCAGAAACGAGCCATCCATACCATCCTGCTTGCTCTGAGTGTAGCTGTTCCGGTTGTTTTAAAGAAAGATGTGATCCAAAACAGTCCCATAGCATAGACCACTACATGGCCAGAAGCTGTTGTGTAAATATCTCTAAGGAAGGTGAGGAAGAAAATGGATTCTATAACACATTAGGCAAATCTTTTCGTTCCTGGTTTTCCTCCAGATCTTTGGATGAATCAACACTGAGAAAGCAAATGGAAAGAGTGAGACCCTTGAAAAACACAGAATTTTGGGCCGATGGCACTATCTCAGTTCAGCCTGCCAGACATTCTAGTCTAGATTTAGGTCACCAAGAGCCATATTCAACAAAAGAGCAAAATTTAGATGAGGAAGTGTTTGTTTCTTCCCAGAAAAATGTGCAGTGGCTGAGAACACAAGGCCCACTGAAGCATTTCAATGGAGACCATCATGGAGAAATTAGGAGAAATGGAGATGGTCATTTTCTGGATGGCATGAATACCAATAAGGATTGTATGGGTACAGGTAACTTAGAAGAAGTTAACCCTTCTCCTAGTAAAATATTAAGAAAGAGTTCTACAGTTGATTCCACAGATTCCATCCCAGATGACACAATTTCTGTTGAAGAGCAACAACAAGATATTTTGGATTCCAGATCCTTTATGCGCTACTACCATGTGTTTCGAGAAGGCGAGCTCGATAGCCTGCTGACGGACCATGTATCAGAGCTCCACATTCTGAACTCTGGGAATGATCATGGCAACTGGTGTATTATTGCAGAGAAAAAGAAAAATTATTATTGACTGGATCATTTTAGACTACTCTAAAAGGTGAATCATGTTCTTTTCACTAGGTTTGGTATCCAGTTTTGTTATTTTTTTTAATCCACTTATGTTTTGGTCTGTAGAGACTATGACTTGATCATCTTTTTTAATCTGTGAGTAAGAGTAGTTCCTGCTACCTAGTTGTTGTTGTTATAAAAATAAGTCATTGAAAACCCTATGGAGTATGGTTCTACTCTGACATACATGAATTCACTTCATGGCAACTGTTTGCTTTGTTTATGTATTTAAATAGAGACCTAAATGTTAAAATAATCCCGTTTTAGTGATTTTTTTTTTCTTTTATGGCAAAAAAAAAAAAAAAAAAAAAAGAAGAAGATTTAGAAAACATACTCATAGAAGTTCAAAATGATTAGGTATAAATTGTGTTGTTGTGTGCCGTCAAGTCGGCCCCGACTCATAGCGACACCTCCTTGGGTTTCTGAGGCAGTATCACTACGGAGGTAGGATTGCCCAACCTTCCTTCCAAGGAGTGGCTGGTGGGTTTGAACCGCCAGCCATCTGGTTAGCAGGCAAGTATCTTAGCCACTATGCTACCAAAGCTCCCATTGCTTAGAAGATTCTTAAAGGGGCTTTTAGTATGTAGACCGTGAAGTATGTGGGTCTTAGGAGTTTCTGCAGTACCTAAGTGGTATTTTTCCCAATGTTATTGGAAGCATGAATTCCCAGTTAAAAGACCAATTATGACTAATGAGGAGTTTCCCTCTGGAATGATGCTTCTCATATGGATTGAAGAGATACTTATGAAATGAGACTCTGGTTGAAGCACTATTTTCTTTTGGCTCTGAGGATTGTTAACAAGCAGGATATTTGACCTTGGTGGTGATAAGGATGGGATTTGTCATTAGATTCTTAAAAAATAAAACCCAGGCTTTTTTTTTTTTTTAATAAAAGCAACTATATTTTATTGGGAGCTCTGGTAGCATAGTGGCTAAGACACTTGCCTGCTAACCAGACGGCTGGCGGTTCAAACCCACCAGCCACTCCTCGGAAGGAAGGTTGGGCAATCCTACTTCCGTAGTGATACTACCTTGGAAACCCAAGGAGGGGTCGCTATGAGTCGGGTTTGACTTGACGGCACGTAACAACAACAACAACAACAACAACATATTTTATTTCTTATAGCAGGGATTTAGATAGGAATAACTCCTATTAATTAAAGGTTGAATTTCTGCCTCTTTGTAGATAAATGGCCAGTAGTCGTAGAGTCAGTCCTGACTCATAGTGACCTCATGTGTGTCAGAGTAGTAGTCTGCTTTGTAGGGTTTTCAGTGGCTCATTTTTCAGAAGCAGATCACCAGGCCTTTCTTGGGAGGCACCCCTGAGTGGACTGAAACCTGCAGTCTTTGTCTAACAGCAGAGCACATTCAATAAAGTGGAGGGGCCGGTAAAATGAGATGGATAAACATGATAGCCACGGCAGTGGACTAGACAACATGCCGTTCTGTTATACACGAGGTCAGCATAACTCAGAGCCACCTCCACAGCAACTAACAACAACACAGACAAATGAATAGATTGAGTGTCGTGTAATCACTGCATCTGTCTGGATTTAACTATGAATCTTTTTAAATCCTTGCCATAGATTCTGAGACACAGATAGAATTAGGAAAGGATTAGAAAACTTGGAGAAGCTAAAATAGGCTGACCTAGGAATATAGTCTTGGGCAATTCCTTAGTTTCATCACTAGATGAGAGTCCAATTTTTGTTTTATTTTTCCATTAAAGTTAACTAAATTAGCTAAAACTTCATTTGTTTTCTTCATTGATTGTGCTCAAACTGAAAATAATGATGCTACTTCCAAAGAAATTTGAAAGATTATTTCAAATATGTATCTGGAAATTATTGTTGGGTTTAACTCTTTTGGTCTTAAAATAATATTGCATTCATAATCACCTTCTTGGTTGATGAAGTTGTCTGTTTGAGAGTGATACATATGATTTCTATTATTAAATGCACATTTTGTATTAAAGGAATAATGAGAAAAAACAGAGAAGTTTAATAAGTTAAAATTAAATTCAGTGTGTCTTCCATTTCTTAAATTAGGACATTAAACCTTGAAGAATGAGTGCTTTTCTTAGTAAAATAGAGATTCCCAGAGTGGAGATGTTCTTACAAGTAGGGTGTGATGGCCTTTGTATGAATGGATTTTTCCTTCCCCTGAGTCTGGTTGTCACATTTACTTTTAATCCTAGGCTTACAGCTAGAAATCTGTGTTTGAAGTCATGTCTTTCTAGGCTAACCTACCATTTAGAGGTCATTATACAGAATTCAGTACATTAATCTGTGCCAGAATAGCTTCTGGACTAACCTGTATGAGCAATCTCTTAAACACACATGCACATCACTTTTTATAAAAGAGTTCTGTAGACTGGTTCTTGGGAGAAAACATTTTCATGTAATTTTGGCAGGACTGTAAATAAAACATCAGTAATAATCGTGTTCTTTCAATCTTCCTTTGCTGAGCTCAAGAATTCTATGCATCCCAGTGTTATTTAGTATGCAAATATTTAACTCCAAATATTTACTTCTGTGGTTGATAAACTCTCTGGAAGTGGATTAATGTGAAAAGCACTCTTAAAATGGCCTTCTGCCTTTGGATTAAAAAAAAAAAAAGTCATTGAAGAGCAAAATAATGTAAATTTCTTTACGATTTCAAAATCCTGCTCACCTTTAAGATGGTCTTCAAAAAGAATTACAAGTCAAAATGAATGGAAATGTGTATAGATTATTTGTGAGTGTTTAGTCAACCTCAATTTACTTGAGCATAGTTTTTAATGATTTTTCTCCATTTTAAAACTTAGACTGCATTATTATTTCTAAATTAAACAGTGTCTTTTTGCTTCTTAGTCCTGTCCTAATTCTGTCTGTGTCTCAGGATCTACTGGCCTCAGGACAGTAGTCCCATTATCTCAAATTGAGAAGAGTGTTTGGGGGATGGTTGGAGGGTCCTTAAAAACTTTTTCTGGCTTACCAAGCCTCACTGGCCTATTTGAGGAATTCCATGTAAATGGTCAGACATCTGGGCAAAGTGAATGTACATGGACAAATGATGCCATTAACATTACCTTAGAATAGGGAGCCAGGCAAGAGGCCTATCTAAATTATGTTTTTCTATTGCCAGCTCAGTGATGACATCAACGTGTCATAGTAACTAATAAACCAACTGCACAAATACCTTGGCCAATCCTATTGGTTGGCTACTCCTTTCTCATCCACACATCCCTGTGCAGGACAGTGTGTACTTCTTGTTTTTAGTTTGCCCTTTTATTCCCTTCCAAATTCTGGATGTCAAGAATTCCTCTGTGATCCTCAGTTGTAAGAGCAAAACTTGGTGATAATCCAGAGAGAAAATAATCCAAATATAAATCAGCTAGAAACATTAATGTATTTATGAATGGCCACAAAAAGAATAAATACTGATGGAATTTTGAATATGTGTGTGTGTGTGTGTGTGTGTGTGTTTGGAGGAGAACAGAAGCTCTAAACCTAATACTTGTTGAATCTGGTAGGAGAATCTACTCCTAAAACATGAGCTATGAGCATCCAGTTTGAGAGAGAGGTGGCAATGAGTTTTAAGCACTGGCCAAGTAGTTGCAGTCTAGGGAGAATAAAATAAGGCAGGCCTGAACTTCTCTCTCCTTTTATGTAGAAAATATGAGATAATAATAGCAACTATACTAGATATCTTGCATTTACTATTTATAATTCTCATCACAGCCCTCTGAGGTAAGTATACTTATTTTTGCAGATGAGGAAAACTGAGGCAGAAATAAATTAATTAAATCATCCAAGATCACACTCTATTTAGGGGCAGAGCTGAGATAAACTCAGCAATTCTGGCTCTGAGCCTGTACTCTTAATCACATCATACACTCTTAACCACTAGGTCCCAGTACTGGGACATTACAGAACAGCCTTTCAAGGTAAGTGTGATTATCCCCTTTACAAAGTAGCCTTAGTGAGGTTAGCAAAGATTCTGTAGCTAGAAAATACTTGGGTAATAATCCCTTACATCAAGGAGCCCTGGTGGCACAGTGGTTAAGCTCTCAGCTGCTCACAGAAAGGTTGGCAGTTCAAACCCACCAGCTGCTCTGTGAGAGGAAGACATGGCAGTGTGCTTCTATAAAGATTCACAGCCTTAGAAAACTTACGGGGCAGTTCTACTCTGTCCTATAGGGTCACTTTGAGTTGGAGTCAGCTCAAAGGCAACAGATTTGGTTTTGTTTTTTTAGGTAATCCCTGAAATATTTTCACCCATCCTTTCTATTCATTGTTTCATTTGATTTGAATTAACAAAATAGTTTTGGTCACAAAATGCTTTGTGATCACTTTTCTCCAACTCTTCACAAATTGTACTATTTGCTGTTCAGGTATTTTATTCATTCTGTGTATGTCCTGGGCCCCATTATATACCAGATACATAAAATATAAGTTAAAGAATTTTGGGTGTGTTGAATGTGCACAGAATATTAATCGACCTAAAAGTGCCAAGCTTGATCATTTTTCTTACTTGTGTCCCTATTATCAAGTTATATTGTATAGTTGAGAAAAGCAATGTATAAAGCCTCTCTTGGAGAATCACAATGCATATTAGTATAATTAAGCCGTGACTTAAAGTGACCTGGACTTAATTTAACTGAGCTTCCCCTAGACATGTTAACATCCACTAGCATAAGCATTCTGTGCAACACATTTCACAGAGTATGTGCCCTAGAGAATAAAATGCAAACTCCTTAGTATGGCATTCAAGCCCTTCCTAATTTGATGCTAAATTATTTTCAGCTTCATTTCCTGAAATTGCACCCAGTTTTTTGTAATTTGCACCCAATCTGCTATTTTAAACAATACTTTCATTGAATATTAGATAATGACAAGTAATTATCACATCATCTAGCTATATAGTTGGATTTCAAATGCCCTAATTGCACTCTTTCTACAAAGGAAAATACATAAAGGA